TTAGCGGTTGGGTGTCTGTAAAGCTTTGTGTTGCTCCTTTAGATTTGAATAATAAACTACCTGTGTGTTCTTATTTGTACGTTTATTTCATGCAACTTATTGACTATGCTATAACCATGGCCTGAAGAGTTTTACTTGATAGATCTCCTTTTGAGGGTTCTTTCATAGGTAAATTTTTCTTTGATCTTTACAGTCTCAGAGTTCTTTGTATATTTGGCTCTTACTATTTTAATTACAGTGTTTCTTTGCTCTATTACTTGTGCTGTGTTCTCTAGAACTCTTTGAGATTCTTGGGTCTGGGTGTTATTTCTCAGATATCAGAATGGGAAAGTTTTTAGCTATATATATATATATGTATATATGTATATATGTGTGTGTACTGAATTTTTAAATGTTTATTTTTTAAGTTGTTCACAATAATTTATTACATTCAATATTCCAACACTAGTTCCTACACCATTACACTATCCAACCACCAGTTTCTAATTTTCTCACCACCACCCAAACCTGCCCCCAAAGCACATACTAAATAATTTATTTTGTATAGCTTGTTATGAATAATCCAAATTATGATATAAAAATGATCCAAAAAAGTTTCCTTAGACAAAAATGTGTGAAACATATTCTCACCCTGGAGCCATTTAAGCCCGTGTATAAGAGATTACTAAAATGTTGTTTCAGATGTGCTATGCTACTCTTGGTATATCAGTGGGGCAGAATATTCAGAAATTCTAAAATTTTAAATAGAGTAATACAGCTAGAGGTAATTTTTCAACTGGATGGTGACTTTGGGGTGTGGAGGCATCTCTGTGGCATGTTGCTCTCTCTCTTTTTCAGACAGTTATTTGTCTCTGGATCATGGCTGTTAATGAGCTTATATAGAGCCAGAGGCAGTTTGTGGGTGTGACTGCCAGGCTCCAGGAAGAACAGGGAGATGGGGGTGCCCACTCGCAACTTCATGAGAGCCTGGAGATTTTGGTCACAAAACCTGCATACCTGAGTTTTCTAGCAGATTCATTCTCATGGATGAGGCTCATTCTGAGCCTGTGGAGATGGGCCTTGAGCATGGTGGTGATTGGGTTCTGGCTGCCAGGGTGCTGTTGGGGCAGGCAGAGGGACTCACCTATCCCCTGGCTCCCCTCCAGGGGCTCCTAGATGGGACAGCCTGGCACAGGGTCCAGAGGCATCTCTGTGGTGTGTTGCTCTCTTTCTCTTCCGAGATTTATTTGTGAGTTTGGCTATAATTTTTTTGACAAATAATTATTACCCATTTTCTTTCTTTCCTTTCATACTTCTGTAATCAGATGTTTTTTTGTCTTAAAGCTGTCACATAGATGTCTGATATTTTCATTTATTTTGAGTTTTTTCTTTTTTTTTTTTTGTTCCCTGGATCTTTTATTTTTTTCTTTTATTTTTTTTTCTTTTTTTCTTTTTTTTCCTTTTTTTTTTTTAAGGAAACACCATGAGGTACAGTTATAGGCTTACAAATTTTGTGCTTGGCATTCAAAAGAACAAAAGCAACCGATGCTGGCGTGGATGTGGCGAGAAAGGGACACTCCTTCACTGTTGGTGGGAATGTCCACTGGTTCAGCCCTTCTGGAAAACAGTATGGACGATTCTCAAAAAATTAGAAATTGAGCTCCCATTTGACCCAGCAATACCACTCCTGGGAATATATCCCAGAGAGGCAAAAATGTATAGTCGAAGTGACATCTGCACTTGTTTGTTCATTGCAGCCCTCTTTACAATAGCCAGAAACTGGAAGAAACCTGAATGCCCAAGAACAGATGACTGGTTAAAGAAACTTTGGTACATCTACACAATGGAGTACTATGTAGCTCTTAGAAAAGATGAAGTCATGAAATTTACATACAAGTGGTACAATATGGAAAGTATCATGCTAAGCGAAATGAGTCAGAAAGAGAGGGATAGACATAGAAAGATTGCATTCATCTGGGGGATATAAAGTAACAAAGTATGAGATTAATACCCAAGAATAGCTGAGATCAGCACCAGGAGGATTACTCCATAACTTAGAGGCCAGCCGGGTATCCTAGAGGAAAGGGCTATTCAGATAGAGAAGGGAGCACCAAATAAAGGATGTTTGGAGGATCCTCCCAGGAGGGGAGATGCATGTCGAAAGTAGACTATGGACTGAACATGTTTGCCACTCAATGCCTCTTTTGCAGACCACAACACCCAAAAGGAGAGAGAGAACACAGGGGATTGCCCTGCCACAGAGACGGGGGGATGGGGGGATGGGGGTGGGAGGGATATTATCCATGGTGGTGGAAAATGGGCACTGGTGGAGGGATGGGTATCTGATCATTGTATAATTGAAACCAAAGCACAAAAAATTGTAAATCTACAACTTAAAAAAAAATAAAATAAAATAAAGGGGGGAAAAAAAAAAAAACAAATTTTGTGCTTGGGTTTCAGTTATACAATGATCAAGTGCCCATCCCTAATGTTTTCATGCCGTCTCACCCTCAAGCACACTGATTCATTCCTCAGTTTTTGTCAGTCTTAAGCTGAGCTCATCTAAAATGTTTTTAGTTTACCTACTGTATTCTTCATTAATGACTCCTAATGGATGTTTTCTCATATTTCTCTCATATTTACTCTTTTTTTGTTGGAAGTATTTTATGTGTTGCACTCAGTTTGGTGAATGTCCTAATAATCATCATTTTGAAGTTTTCATCGGAGAGGTTAGAGAGCTCTTCTGTGTGTGTGGGAACTTTTCAGACTCTTGACTTCATTAATGTAGGTGGCCCCCTCTGCTTCCTTACTGTGTCTGGTAGCAACCTAGGGTTTGCTTTTGTCAATGTCAGGGACAGTCTGTGGGCATGTGCTGCTTCGACTGCACCTGAGATTTTATTGTACAGAGTAGTGCTGCCTCATTCACAGCTTGTCCTTAAGTTTGGGCAGCTTCCCAGTTCCTTAACTTTTGGAGGATTTCCTCTTTCTGTTTTTTTTTTTTTTCCGGGTCACACCCAGCGATGCACAGGGATTACTCCTGGGTCATGCACTCAGGAATTACTCCTGGTGGTGCTCAGGGGACCATATGGGATGATGGGAATTCAACCCGGGTCGGCCACATGCAAGGCAGTCGTCCCACCTGCTGTGCTATCACTCCAGCCCTGGATGTCCTCTTTCTGACTCTTGGTGAATACCTGTACTCAGTCAAATGCAATGTGACTCAAATGCAATGTGACGAGTAGGGAGGTGGTTTTTAGTTTCTCCTGGGGCTGGCTGCTAGCAGATCTTTACCCTCAGCTTAGAATGCCAGTAGGTTGTTGCTTCCTTGCTTGGAACTGCAGGTGTTTGTCCATTGCAATTGCTGACCGGTAACCTTGTCAGAAAGCTTGAATAGATTTTCCAGCACTGCTTTCCCCATGGGCTGGAGTGATAGCACAGCGGGTAGGGCATTTGCCTTGCACACAGCCAACCCGGGTTTGATTTCTCCATCCCTCTTGGAGAGCCTGGCAGGCTATTGAAAGTACTCCACCCACACGGCAGAGCCTGGCAAGCTACAGTGGCATATTCTATATGCCAAAAACAGTAACAACAAGTCTCACAATGGAGACATTACTGGTTCCTGCTTGAGCAAATTGATGAACATGGGAGGACAGTGCTACAGTGTTACAGTGCTTTCCCCACACCCAGTCTTGTTATCTACTGCTCCCCCCTCCCTGAGGCCAAGCTTGAACTCCTTATCTGTTCCCTGTTCTGCAATTCCGTCTGTACCTGTTAGCTATTTGTTCCCATTAACTTCTTCTGTGGGTTGCACAGTGGGATTCTGTGATTATTTCTGTAGGGTTTTTTTTTGGGGGGGGGGATTGCTGTGCTCTCAGAGTCACCCGTCTCTCCCTCCTCCCTAATGAATTGTCATAAAATTTTCTTATAGCACTATTAATGCTGCATCCATGAGCTTTGGTGTGTGTTTTTATTTTCATCTGCTGTGCCTCTCTTAAAAAAAATCATTTGATCTTTTGGTTGTTAAGAACCTTGTTTAATTTCCACAAGATTGTGAAATTTTCAGTATTCCTTCTGCTATTTCATCCCATTATGGTTCATAGAAGATTCTTAGATACTGTATTTTAAAATCTAATAGGACTTAATTTGTGACATAACATTTGATCTATCTTGAAAAATGTTCCTTTTGTATTGGAAAAATACCTATGCTATATTATGCAGCAAAATATGTGTTGTTGGATCTAACTGGTTTATTGTGTTGTTTAAGTCTTCATTTTTCTTGTCTCTTGTCTGATGATTTGTTCATTATTGGTAGTGGATTAGTGAAGTCTCATTTTTTGTATACATGTCTTTTCAGTTCTGACATGTTTAGCTTAATATACTTTAGTGCTCTCTCCTTGAATTTCTGTTTATAATTATGATACACTTTTGGCTGTGTTTACTAAGAGTAATCCCTGAGCATTGCTAGATGTGGCCCCAAAGAAATAACAACAACAAAAAAAAATTCAAAACAAAACAAAAAACTAAAATACTTTGTATTTGATAGAATTTTTTTTTAGAATCTTACAACTACTAAAATTGTTCATATCTTGCATGTGAGGAAACTGAGACCTTGAGAAATTAAGAATTGCCCAAATGGGTCTGGAGAGATAGCACAGTGACTAGGGTGCTTCCCTTGTACATGGCCAACCCGGATTAGATGCCCGGCATCCCTTATGGTCCCCAAAGCTCCACCAGGAGTGGTTCCTGAGTACAGAGCCAGTAGTAACCTCTGAACATTGCCAGGTGTGTCTCTCCCCAGCCCCCAAGAAAGAATTGTCCAAATATCTAATGCTCTCTGATAATAATGCAAAGATCAAGGAATCTGTAAGGGTTGAGTTTATAATTAATATATATATATAAATTATATTTATATGGTTAGCTCTTGTGTTTGTCTTTATTTGCTAAAAAATAAAGCTTGCTTTTCATTTTTGTTTCAACAGGTCATACCTGAAAGCTATTATATTTTTCGAAAATAGCAATATTCTTAATATCTAGAAATGAATACAGAAATAGAACAGCAGCTCCTCCACCATGCCAGGAATGGCAACACTGAAGAAGTAAGACAGCTATTAGAAACCATGGAGAAGAATGAAGTGATTGCTGATATCAATTGTAAAGGTAAGCTTTGAATGGCTGTGTTTCATGCTGCTCTCTTTGCTCTTGCAAGCAATAAATGTCTACCTTTCATTCGAGGTGGATGGTTTCCTCCATCAGGAAACTTGAAATGTATTCTCAGAATTGTCATGGATCCTGATTCTTATAAGCTATATAAAAGTGGTCCTTCTCTGCAAGATGTATTCTGTGATAACTGTTTTCTTCTTAAAGATGTGGTTTGAGTATTTGCTGTATGCCTAGAGTTATGTGAACTACCTTGGAGATGATCCCTGCCTTCACTGAAAATAAGTAGTAGATGAACCAAATCAGAATAGCTTGCAGTGAGCTAGTCATGGGACCTCATACACTGGAAAGCTCTGGAAAGCTTAAGTTTTAGCTTTGGGTAACTTGAAACTTGAATGATTAACTTCTTAGAGAAAATGATTCTGAGATCATAGCTGATATGTGTACAGGTGTTTACAGGGTGAAGATAAGAGAAGAAAATAATTCAGAGTAGGAGATACAGCAAGTGCGAGTCTATGGGCCTGTGGGCTGGAAGGCTGAGGGTCAGTGTTAGGGGACTCAGAGCAGCCAGTTCAGAATGTGCCTCCTTATCAGGATTGCACATGCATGACATCAATCTGTGCAGAAAATATGCTTTTCTAAGACACTTCATGGTAGATTGACCTGCATCCCTATTTGGGGTGTGCGGTTCCATTCATTTGTCTCACAAGACTCTTTCCTCTCTAGAGAAATCTGTATTGTCTTTTGAGCCTGTTTTCTTTTCCTCAACCTTCTAATACAATGTCTTTTACTTCGTAATAGCTACAGGCCAGCGCTTCAGTACAGCAGGTGAGGCACTTGCACATAGCCAACCTCACTTAGACCCCATCACCACATATGTCGGGCATGTTTGCCAGGAGTGATCCCTGAGCACAATTGGGCAAGGCCCAAGGACCCTCCTCCCAGAACTGTGATATTGATGTCGGGCCCCACAGGTGACTTATATGAAGTGGAGAGGAGGAAGCTGGTCACTTTCTCCCCATCCCTCTGCCACCTGGGACCCAGGGTTACTTGGTTCTTGTCTATCCTCCAGAAAGGAGTTTCAGGAGTAGACAAGCAGAGAAATTACACAGTTTTTTATTTGGAGGTTTTGCAGGGAAGGAGGGAGAGAAAGTGGGAGAGAGTAGAGAGTGACCTGCTCAAGAGAAAGAAAGCCCCTACACACATCCCAGCATTAGACATGAAAGCATGAAAGTACACATCTCAAGAGGGGAGATGTGGGCGACACATGTGCTCAGTCACATGGGTGCGGGATGCACATGGGCTTAGGCAGCACATGTGTGTGCTTCCTTTGTTCAAGGTGGCCTTTATAGGGTCTCTACAACCTGCCCCCATGTGGGGCTTCTACCTAGGTAAAAGTCCATTGCTAGGGAATTACCAAGGGGCTTGGGAGTGGTGATGGTCTTCTCTGAAATTCTTTCCCTGACTTTTTTTCTGCAGGAGCTTCTGTTGAAGGGGGTTGGTCCAGCCTCCTCAGGGTCTATTACAGACTGGCATAGTTCTCCAAGATGTCAGGGCTATTACTGCCCAGGAGATTTACTGCCATTGCCATGGGAAGGGGTCTTCCCCATCTGCCTGCCTACCTCAATATCTCAAGTTCTTTCTCAGTGTGGGAATATGGAAAACTAAGTATTAGTCTTTGAATATCTCAATCTGAGTAGCTTTTTTTTTTTTTTGATACAGGCTTGGTTTTTCAAGGCTCTCCCAGCCCTCCACCTCTACCCCATAGATGGCATTTAAATATCAAGATATGGGGCTGGAGCCAGAGTATAAGGGGTTAAGGTGCTTGTCTTACACTTACATGCAGTGGAATCCCATTCAAACCCTATCCCACATATGTCCCAAGCACTGCTAGGAGCAATCCTTGAATGTAGAGCCAGGGGTAAGCCCTGAGCACCACATGTGGGGTCCCCAAACAAAAAAAACCCAACAGCCCCTCAAATTACTACCTCACTGCCCTCTCCACCTCCCAGAAGACATCAAGTTGAGCCTTGCTGTGTTCATACCTGGTACTTTCCCCCTAGAGCTCCTTAAGCATCTGTAATGTAAGAGATAAGGATCAAGTGCAGCCTTTCATTTTGCCAATATTGGCTATTGGGCACTTACCTAGGCATTTTTTTCCTCTCTTTCTTGGTTTGGGGTGGGGTTTGGACTACTCCTGCCAGAGCTCTGGGGACCATGTGGTCCTGGGGATCAAAACGGGGTTTGCAGGTGTAAAACAAATGCTTCAGGCCACCTCCCCAGTCCTAACCTTGACTCTGTTTGTGTCATTCTGAACCTCTGTCACCATCTTCTATCTTTCACCTATTGTGGACTCTCTTGTTTAGCGAGGAATTTAGGAGAGGAGTTAGGGAATTAAAAGCGTGCTTCCTAATCAATATTTGCCCTTCTCTGTGCCTACACTGCAGACTTCACTTTGATAAGGCTGCTTTACAGATCAGAGCTAGGGTAAGTGGCCTTCCAGACTGCTCTAGATCTGTCTTGCCCTCTGGGCTTCTGTGCTGTAGCTGTATATCTCATCTTCAACCCTTTTCTTCCCCATAGTTCTTTGTCCCAAAGAAATTGTTTTTTGTTGTGTCACATTTTCCTCCTAGAACAGCAGATCCCCTGGCTTCCTTCACCTCCGGAAAGGAAGTCTGAGCACTGTAGCAGGGAAGGAATTATGGTCTTAGCTGTTCGAAGCTATAGACTGAGTTGATTCTTGGTATGCTAAAGAAGTTTGAAAAAAAAAATACTGTTCGTCCCTCAAAGAAGACTCACCCTTAGTCTTTATCTTGTCAAAAATATCAAAAATATCTTCCATTTGATAATCCTCCATAACCCTCCCACCTCTCACCAAGGGTTGCCTCCGGCTAAGGAGTAAAAAGTCCCCTGCTTGAAAATGTGAAAGCAGAGAAAGAGTTCTTAATGCTTTTTTCAAACTTTGCCCTCATTCAATGTGTTGGAAACCTTTTCATCTTACGGTCTCTTTGATATCTTTGTCACATCATCAGGGGTATGCAGTTCATTCAGTAGCAGATGCTGCTTTTGCATGTTGCCCTATGGCAAGCCCACGTTTGTGCTCATGTGTGTTGTGAAGGAAGAGCTGTTCTTTGTAAGTTTGTCAACAAGCTTAAAGTATGTTTGAGTCCAACGTGAACTTTATATAAATTCTATGAGTGTGTGCCAAGAAACAAACATTTTTGGAAGTTAAGTACTTGAACTGACAATGTCAACAAGTGAGCCTGTGAACACTGCCACTTAACTAGAATGTCAGGATGTAAAGTTACTTAAATATCAGTCCTAAATGCTTATGTTTCCCAGTGCCTTAACTGACACAGGGTACAGTTCTTAGCAAATATTCCTAAACTTGATACTTCTTGTTCATTTGTAATGATTTTGTTTTGTTTCGGGTCATACCTGGGTATGCTCAGGGCTTTCTCCTGGCTCTGTACTAAGGGATCAATTCTAGTGGGTGGCAGGGTACTCTTTGTGGTGGTGGGGTCAGATCTGGGTTAGCCTCATGCAAGGCAGGTGTCCTGCCCACTGTGATATTATCTCTGGTCCATGGTGATGTGTTTTTATTTATTTATTTTTTAATGTAGAAGTACTGTTATTTATCCAGTCACTGATTAAGCTGACTGAAGCAGGCATGAACTCCACATTACTTTTTATTTTTCTCTTTGGGTCACACCCGGTGTTGCACAGGGGTTACTCCTGGCTTTTCACTCAGGAATTACTCCTGGTGGTGCCTAGGGGACCATATGGGATGCTGGGAATAGAACCTGGGTCGGCCGCGTGCAGGGCAAATGCCCTACCTGCTGTGCTATCTCTCCAGCCCCTCCACATTACTTTTTAAATTTTTTTTAAATTTAATTTTTATAAAGTTGTTCACAGTAATTGTTTATATTCAACATTTCAACAACAGTCCCACCACTATTATACCTTCCCACCACCATTATTTTGAATTTTTCCCACCATCACCCAAGCCTACCCCATAGGCAGATGCTAAATAATTTATTTTGTATTTCTTGTTATGAGATATTGTGCGACCACAAAAGTGGCCAAGCACTCCTGGAATTCTAAAATTTTTAAATATCTGGGCCTCTCTGTGGCGTGCTACTCTCTTCTGAGATTCATTTTTGAGTTTCTGAATCATGGCCGTTAATGCACTTAAATGGCGTCCAGAGGCAGTTCTTGGGCGTGACTGCCAGGGAATGAGAAGTGTGGGAAGATGGGAGGAGGTTGCTCATCCCTGACTTGGTGAAGCCTGGAGTTTTTAGTTACTGGTCCAGCATACTTTTTTTTTTTTTAAGTGGTTTCATTCTTATGCAGGGGGGAATGAACCTGTGAAGGTTGACCAGTGAGCCTTGTGGTTGGGTTCTGGAGGTTTATGGCTTTCGGGCTTCATTTGTGGCAGGCGGAGGGACATATCTGCCCCCATCCAAGGTGCCCTGGTAAAATCAGACTTGCGAGGGGAAGGGAGACTTCTCTGCGGTGTGCTTGCTCTCTTCTGAGATTCATTTGTGAGTGTTTGATTTATGGTCATTAATGCGCTTAAAGGCCTGATTTTGATCTCTTTCCAGATTTGTTTATGGGTTTCTGAAACAAGGCAGATAAATGAGCTTGTATAGCTGAGCCGGTGGTGGTTTGTGGGTGTGGTTCCCACATACCTGACTTTTGGCCATTTAATTTCTTGGAAACTTGGTCCCAAGTTGTTGGAGTCCAGCCAGAGGCACATCGGCAATTTTGGGGTATCAGGAAGCCTGAAGGCACCATCAGGCTGCTGATGCACTTGCCCCGCAGGTACAGGTTGACCTGCTGGGCAGCACCATATCACCGGGTTATGCATTTTTTTGATACCCATGACAAGTAGTAAAGAGTATAAAGAATGTGAAGTATTTCAAGACTAATTCAGAATTTTAGAATTTTTATTTCTTGTTCCAAAATTCCATTCGGAAATACTAGATATGAACAGTTTAGAACTTGCCATAGTAATTTAGAGGAGAGATTATGGTTTTTATAGAATTATTATATTACAGTCTAGAAGAGAGAGTATGAATTATATGGAAGTAAGGGCGAAGGTTATGGAGAAAAGTATAGATATAATTAAGACTTTAGGTATAATCAGTAGAACTGAGTTGCAGGGTACCCAGGATGAAGCAGGCAAGAATGAAGCTTATTTCTGACTTGACAAATGGGTGAGTGATGGAACAGTTGGTTATGAAAACAGATCAATAGGGGGAGCATTGTAGGAGTGTAGGAGTGTCTATACAAAGATGACAGGTGAGTTCAACTTTGTACTTGAGTGCAAGGTATTCTTATATCATTCTACAAAAAACCCCAAATAAACAAAAAATAGAGGTGCCTGATAGAAGGCTGGAAATAGGACTTTTATTGTCAAAGGCATATAAGTGAAGCAGTGGGAAAGGAACGAGAGGTTCCTTATAGGAGACACCAGCAAGGAAGAACTAAGCAAAGAACAGAGTAGCCAAAGGGTACCGGAAGGAGTTCCAGGGAGCAGGGAAGGGACATGGGCTGTGCTGCCCCATGCTGTTCAGTGCCAGTGAGGTGGCCGCTGAAAAGCACCCTTGGGACTCATTGAAGGCATTCATTGATTAGTCGGAAGGAGAAGAATCTAGTGCACAGTTGGTATAACCAATGGAAAGGAATGAGGTGGAAAGTTCAGTGAAGAGTGAGAATTACTGCTGGTAAAAAGCACAGGATTAGAGGAGTTCTGTGAGTGTTTACTTATTCCTATTTACAACTGATGGTGAAAGAGAAAGGAAAAAGGGAGAGTGCCCAGGAAGCATGATAGAGTGGGGTCCAGTAGGTTGAAAGAGTGATAGCTTTAGACTTGGAGAAGAAAGGGTGGAAGAATACCAGTAAATATGGTAGGTGACATATTTGGAAGCCCAGAGAATTCTAAAGCGTTGGGTTAAGAGGCTTGAGAACAGTAAATGATTGGACTATCTCATGGAAGATAGGAGAGACAGTTGCATTGGGCATTTTAAGTTGGGCATTATTCTCAGGAAGTATTGTGGGTGTGACTGAAGTGTGAGACTCGTCTTCAGGGTCTTCCCTGGTCCTTTTCTGTACCATCATTTAGCAGCTTGACATGATTAAGGACAAATGAAGCTGCTGTATTTATCAGGATTTAGGGCTTATATAGGCTGCTTGATAAACATAAAGAAAATTTGGCAAAGAAATGTTAAACTTTCCTTGCACAAGGACAACCCCTGGTTCGATCCCCAGTATCTTATATGTTCCCCAAGAGCACAGTCCAAAGTGATCCCTGAGCACAGAGCCTGGAGTCAGCCCTGAATACCACTGGGTGTGGCCCAAAAAACAAAAAAAAAAAAAAAAAGGAAAGAAGAAAGAAAGAAAGAAAGAAAGAAAGAAAGAAAGAGAAAAGTTAAATTTAAGAGTCAAACAGTATGTGTTGGGATTTATTGAAGGAAGTAAACTCAGGGGAGGGCGGGACTTACATACTGTGAAAGTGATTTAGAATTCCAGGACTGATGGAGTTGAACAGGTCCGGAGTTGACCTGAGTGAACAAGCTGGAGAGTGGTGAGTTTGTGGGAAAGCAGGCTTTTTGTAATGACATGGCAGTGGCTTCAGATTCCAGCTCTGGAGCTGGGCACCGTCAAACATTGAGCATAGGCAAAGTGTATGGGGATTGAGGGAGGACAAGAAATAGTCCAGGGTCCTAAAGAGGAAGTCCACTCCCATTGGATGGTCTCAGGGGCAGGGAGTTTGAGTTATTTGAGGAGCAAGCCCCTGGGGACTGGTAGATGGAATAGGAAAGGGGTTGGGGGAGCTATAGCTGTGAGTTACTGGCAAGAGTCTCAGGGATCGTAACATGAGGGAACTCATTGACCAAAGGAGGCCCTGGGTTTTGAGTCAGAGATTTATGTTGCTTCTTAAAGGTGGAGAGGAAAGTGGGAAAGACACCTTGTCTGAGGGGTAAAGGAAAATGATTGCCTTACTTTGGAGAAAGGAGGCATTTGGGCCACATCCAGAATTGCTCAGGGTTTACTCCTGGCTTTGTGCTCTTGGGAATGACCCTAGCAGTGTTCAGGGAACCACATATAGGACCTGGGATTTGAAGTAGGGTTGCAGCCTTGGAGGCAAGTGTGTTACCTCTTGTACTGTTTCTTCCGCCCCCAAAGAAAATTACATTCATTCAGGAAGAGTTCGGTTTCAGTTAAGGACTGAGGCTAAAAGGAAAAAAATATTCCATGAAATAGCCCAGGGCTCCAGGATGTGAATTGGGTTTTTTCCAGAGGCTCCATCTGAGAGCAAGAACTTGGGTGTATGGGCACATGTCGGGCGATGGGGACACATTGGCTGCGGTAGTGGCTTGGGAAGCTGATGTGTTTCAAAGTTGGTGGCCAAAGTTTTAGATACTCCGCCCTGAAAATTTGGGCGACAAGTGCAGCATTGAATCTCCAGTTTACCCTACATCCCCCAAGCATCCCCTTGTAGCAGCTAGGATTTACAGACCCTCCAGGGAGGCGGGCTTCAGCTACATGAGGGCCTGTGTCCTTTGCGGCCTGATCAGACATTTGATCCCGCTCCTGGAACTCTTAGCTATGAACTAGTGCACTTCCCTTCCTTTTCCTTTATTGGCTATATTTTCTATTATTGCTTCAGTTTTTACAGCACTCTGCTGTTTTCTCCCCTTCCTAGCTCTGCCATTAGGATCTAACTTTTCCTTGCTTTCCAGTTTAGTTCCTGCTATCTTTTTAAACCCTCCATTCAGGTAAGCCAATATCCTCGTTAACTGAGATTTTTATCTGAAGTCAAAACTCCTTTCAGCCTTTGTCTGCAAAGCAAACAGCTTTCCGCATGTTGTAGGGAAAGATCCATTATCAATATCCATTCTCCTCTCCCCTTCTAACTTGGTACAGGTTCTCAGAGAAATTGCTTTGCATATCCTCTGCAGCATAGTGGAGTTACTCTGTGGGGGCTCACCTGCCTTGTAGGCTGGAGGCTGAGTTTCAACCCTGGCACTGCCCCATGTGTCCTTCTGACCCTGCTCCTGGAATTCCTGCTGCTACAACAAAGTGTGCTATCTCTGACCACCACAGCCAGGTGTGTGTAATCTCCAGGGAGCACCCCAACCAAGCTGCAGCTCCCAAACAGAGTGGGGTCCCCACTCAGTGAAATGGTAACAAGGAAGGAATGGGGAAAAGGAAAAGAAGTAATTAGCTGGGAGAACCACATCTATGTTCGATGATGGCACAATGGTTAGAAACTCAGAGCCAGCTTCTGACAGGCTGCTGGAGTTTATCTCATTTGCCTATAACTGCCATCACGCTTCTTTCACCCTGTTGGGAAGGGACCATTGAGATAAGGAGGCAGCAGAGAAACCTGGTGCTGTGACTTCTGATCCTCTGTCTGGGTTAGACTGCTTACTCACGTGGTCACTGTCCTTTGCCAGTTGTTCATCAGCTAGTGTGAAGGGTGGCTGTTTTCCATTGTCCTCAAATGACTTGCATGGTGAAATGAATTTCAGTGAAAAGTTAAGTAAATAACAAACATACTTTATCTTTTTAGGAAGAAGTAAGTCTAATTTCGGCTGGACACCTCTTCATCTTGCATGCTATTTTGGACATCGACAAGTGGTCCAGGACCTCTTAAAGGTATATCTGTGACTTTAATTTTGAAATTAGTGTAAAATTCCTGTTAGGAAATCTGTGTCGTAGCCAATTGAGCAATAGTGTCTTTTTTAAAAGCCATGTCTCATCAATAAATGCATTTACTTGTTCTTTATTCTACATGAATTAGGTAGCCTGATCAATAAAAGTGAAATTATTTTAAAAATTCAGTCATTTTGCTTTATATTAATGGCCTTTTTAAAATTGAAAAAATAGAAATATGAACTGGTGGAGATTTTCACTGTCACTGTCCCCCCATTGTTTATCAATTTTCTCGAGCGGTAGCTTGCCAGGCTTTGCTGTGTGAGTGAGATACTCTCGGTAGCTTGCTGGGCTCTCCGAGAGGGGCGGAGGAATCGAACTCGGGTCGGTCATGTTGGATGCGTGCAAGGCAAATGCCCTACCTGCTGTGCTATCGCTCCAGCCCTGAGTATAATGGCTTGAAAAGTAACCAAAATGTGACCAGAGAGATAGTATAGTAGGTAAGGTGGTTGCCTTGCAAGTGACTGACTGGGTTCAATCCCGGCATCCTATATGGTCCTCCAATTACTGCCAGGAGTGATTTCTGATTGCAGAGCCAGGACTAATCCTTGAATATTACTGGGTGTGCCTCCTCACCCACAAAATAAAAGGAACCAAAGTATATTACAAATCATTTTTAAAAGTCAAGAGTATTATAGAGTACCGTATTACTTAAAGGCTCTATTTTTCAATTCTGTGATTTTTAAAAAAAAAATCATATATTTGAAATTGGTTTGGTCTTAAAATTGCATGGGTACTTACATGATGTAATTTCACCCCTCTCCCCACCCAAATTTACCAAACTTGTTGAGAAAAAACGCATTCATTCATTCATTCAAAAAAAGTATTTCATTCACAGGTCATTCATTCAAAGATAGTTCTTTTTAAAATTATAGATATAGTAAAAATAGAGTGAATTTGTCTAAATTTTAGGGGAAAGCACCTTTTAAAAAAGGTTTTTAGCCCAACAACTTAAATTTTTGAAAAGTATTTTTAAGGAATTAATTTTTCTGTTGCATACTTATGTGGAAGATGCTTACAGTTTTTTCTTGTTTACTAGGCTGGTGCGGAAGTAAATGTCCTAAATGACATGGGAGACACGCCACTCCATCGTGCTGCTTTCACAGGGCGAAAGGTGAAAGGGATTCTTGGTTCAGTCCTTGCTAGTGAGACGTTTGTTTTGTTGTTTTGCCCCTACCCAGTGCTCAGGGCCACGCCAGGCTCTGTGTTCTGGGACTCTGTAGTGGCATTTCTAGGGCATTTCCAGGCATTTCCAGCACAGTGGAGGAGTTGAATTCAAAACGCTCTCTCTGCCCCCTCAAGTGAAATAATTGAAAGAGTAGTTAGTTACAAATGTTTTCTCTTTTATAACAATAGAAATAGCAACTGGGAAAAACCGTAACAAAGTTATAAAGACTGAAGTTTAGAGCCAAAAGATCACAAGTGACTAGGGCAGAACAGTGAGCTGAAAGTACTGTTCAGGAAAATCGGGGGACCTTAAATCATAGCATCCCTGATAGGAGCTCATTTAGGCTCTGCTTCTGTGCCCCAGGGCTGGGCCAGCTCCATTCTGCTGGACCTGAGAGGCCTTTGGCCAGAGGGCTGGAGACTTGAGACATTCTTCCCAGAAGTTCTAGTTCTGGCTCCGAATGCCTCTCAATTTTTTTATTTTATTATTTTTTTTTATTTTTGGGTCACACCCGGCAATACACAGGAGTTATATTACTCCTGGCTCATGCACTCAGGAACTACTCCTGGCGGTTCTTAGGGGACCATATGGGACGCTGGGAATCAAACCCGGGTTGGCTGTGTGCAAGGCAAATGCCCTACCCTCTGTGCTATCGCTCTAGCCCCTCAATTTGTTGTTTGTTAGTGGGTATTCAGTACCATGGTATGGTTATACTGTCACTGACCTCCTGTTGTTCATCGATTTGCTCGAGCGGGCCCAGTAACATTGTGAGACTTGTTACTGTGTTTGGCATATCGAATATACATCACAGGTAGCGGTAGCTTGCCAGGCTCTGCCGTGTGGGCGAGATACTCTCGGTAGCTTGCCCGGCTCTCCGAGAGGGGCGGAGGAATCAAATTCAGGTTGGCCGTGTTGGCCGTGTGCAAGGCAAATGCTCTAATATCCATTTAACACCCTTTTTTTCCCCTTCAGAATTATCAGTCTTTGATAATAAGTGCTTATCTCCTTATTAGTATCAAAACCAAAAGTTGCATCGCTCCTATTTTTCTTAATTTGAAAAAATATGAATGAATTGGGAAGCTGTGACTTAAGGAGTAGATCTTATTTCTTTTGATTATTGATCATGTCCACCATGATTCCTAAAGATAGCACAGCGGGTAGGGCGTCTGCCTTGCACGCAGCCAACATGGCCGACCCGAGTTCGATTCCTCCGCCCCTCTCGGAGAGTCCGGCAAGCTACCGAGAGTATTCGATATGCCAGACACAGTAACAACAAAGTCTCCAATGGAGACGTTACTGGGCCCGCTTGAGCAAATCGATGATCAACGGGAGGGCCTTTACTTTACTTACTTTACTTTACCTAATCAGATGGTTTATGTGAATTTATCATGAGTTAAAAAATGAATTTATGTAGTTTTACTCTTTTGCTTATATAATGATTATATTTAATGAAAATTTTAGATATCACGAATTGGCCCGGGAGCGATAACACATTGGGTAGGGCATTTGCCTTGCACGTGGCCAACACGACCAACCCAAGTTCGATTCCTCCGCCCCTCTCGGAGAGCCCGGCAAGCTACCGAGAGTATCTTGCCCACACAGCAAAGCCTGGCAAACTCCCCATGATGTATTCGATATGCCAAACACAGTAACAAGTCTGACAATGTTACTGGGCCCACTTGAGCACATCCATGAACAACGGGAGGACAGTAACAGTGACGAATTGGCCCTAGTGCTAATAAATGTTTGAACTAGTGCATTGTGCTCTACTTGGAACTATATGGTCATATGTTGGCTATTGTGAACCAGTTAGGGAGTCTTCCTCAACTGAGGAACTGTGCCTTTCAGAGTGAAATAGTGAAACAGTAAAGGTAGGAGGTAAATTGTTATGTTTACACCTTTAACGTTTAAAAACTGAGCTGCAAATGACTCATTTGCCTGACCCATAGGTGCACTGCTTGATACCTATGTCACCCAGATTCCACAGTCTTTTCTGTTTACCTAAGGAAGTTCCTTGCTCTTGTTTCCACTGCTCTAAATTCCACAGTCTTGAAAGTGCAGTGCAAATCTCCATTCATTATTTCCTGACTTCTTGCAGCTGGATGGAAGCCTTGCTCTCTCAAATTTCCTGAACACAGTTGTTCATTTCCCCTTGCATTATAGTTTTTGTTTATATAATATCCTAACTCTGCTGTGAGCCTCTGCGTATCTCCCTCTCAGGGAATTAGCACCTTTCATTTTTGTCTCTTTCACAAGCACAGGTCTGACTATCCGCCACTGTAATTTACCTGGCTCATATTAGTTCCTTTGTCTGTGCTTCGCTCATCAAATATTTGACCGTTTCAAGTGCTATTTTCTTTGAATTTTGTGCATGCTAAATTGGGCTTAGTTTGATTTGGACATTAGCATATATATTATCTCTTGTACTAGAAAATAAAATTTAGCTGAAGCTAAATGGTTGTGTCACATAGGAAACATTAAAAATTTATGTGCTCAATAACTAAGGGTGATTGAATTTTGTGAAAAGTTTAAATTTCTAATTGTACTCATGAATGGAATCAAATTATCTTGTTCCAGTGTGAACTTTTACCATGAAGATAATATAAAATATATTATGATGGTGATATTATGGACTGAATACATCAGATGATGAATTGATAAGGGATTCGATTTATCACAAAGTACTTTAAGTTCTTGTCCTTGGGAATAAAATTCCGTTGCCAAAATTTCTGGGAAATGTAGGGATCTTTCTTGGCACATTAGCGACCCCTAGTGCATATGAAGCTTTTGTTTTTGTGTGCCAAAAGCAATTAGACTTCTCAAGATTCTATGTCTTTCAGAGAAAATTTAAAATAGGGACGAGCCAGAGAGATAGCTTAACAGGCTGGAGTGCAGGCTTTGCATGTAGGAGGTCTGAGATCCATCTAGATACTACAAGGTCCCTGAAACACCTCTTGGAATGACCTGAGCATAGAGTGAGGAGTAGTTGCCCCTGGAGTGGTGCTGGGTTTAGTTCAAAAATGAAAACAGAAATATAGAGAAACAACCAGAACTTTTGCATTGTGGCACTGACCTTTGTTTTGATTTATGATTTTCTAGCAGAAAGGAGACTGCATCTAAAAAGAAAATCCTGCCTGTGGTCTGTAGTGGGCAGAATATCTTTTTCACCTAGCACAAGACACCTTTGACCCGGAACTGGTTTTTTTTTTTTAACCCAGAACTGTTGGGGAACAGTTTTTCCCCAATGTGCGTGGATAGGTTGTGCACCGGGTCCGGGCAGACATGGGGAGAAGGATGACGGGCGAGTGGAGAAACACCCTCTGGGAGTAACTGATGGCTTTTCACTTCATTGCCAAATACATACATATTTTATGGAGGGTCTTGGCTTACAGAAAGGTCCAATCACAGAAAGTTTAGCATTACTGGCATTTCACCTTTCCAACTCTGCTTTGTCCCGGTCCAATCCCAATCAAGGCTAGTTGCTGCAGTTTAGGATGACTTGCTAAGCATACATGACAGTTTCTGTGTCTTGGGCTCATGTGATTAGCGGCTTGAGTGACGCTCGAGGCCGAACATCTGGTACTGGCTGACATCCTGTTCTTGACAACTTTGCCCAGATACTCCCTCTTGTGAGGCTTTGCTTCTGGGCCGCTTTGCAAGGTCGGGTCTTATATGCTCAAGTGCCCATCACATGCTCCACACGGAACTGTTCCCCTTTGATCCCACTTCTCATGCTTATGTATCAGTTGTCTTAATTGTGTGTTGGGTACTGTCCGAAGAGCCCAGCCTGTCTTCTTTCACCTAGTGGAAAATGATGTTGGGTTCTCCAGGAAGAGGTCGTGATGGAGATTCATATGCTCCAGGTTCATGCAGGAGCAGACAGGCTGCGTCAAGCCGCACTCTCAAGGGATCTCTTAGCTTGCTGGGGAGCTCAGCAGAGATCAGGGGGATTAGGCTGAGGACCTGACCCCTGGACTAGTTGCTCACTGGATCCACGCAGCCCTGGAAAGGCTATATCTGTCACCTCACAGGAAGTGACTTTCTTTAAGTAAGACAGTTCTGGAAGCAGCTGACTGCAGAAGGCTTCTCCAGCACCTTGGGGACTAAGTCCTTTCTTTCAGAAGGGGATCTGCATTGTACGTGGAAGCTCTGACCACAGCCAACCCTTCATTTTGCTCAGATACACTTTTTCATTCATTTTGGGGTGCCAGCCATCTTATGCATTATGGGGGGAGGCAGCCCTCTTCAATGTCTCCTCATTGAAGAAACTAAGAGGAATGTAAGTGGGTTAGCTCAGAGCTGCTGGTGCTCTAGTTGGTCTTGGGGCGAGAAGTGAATCCTGTCCCTGCTCTACTCTCCATGTTAGGTTGTCTTTGTCCTTCACTAAACCATCTTCTGGTCTTCTCTGGCTTATTTGGAGCACATGTGTTTTCTTACCATAGTTTTTAACATTTCAGTGGCTTCTTTATTTCCTCTCTCTCCAAATCCGTTTTTATTGCAGTATTATATTTGACAATAGGACTGAAACTATTGTGCGTGATACTGGCCCCATACTCCACAGGTGTTAAGACCCTTCCACCATTGTTTCATGATCCCTTTCTCCCTCTTCCTCCTCTCACGCCCCACCCCTTAGTCGCCTCACTTCCCTGTTCTACTGATCATATTCTAGGGTTTTTTTTTTATAATGGGGGTTGTGTAATCCCTTGCTTTGTTTCTTTATACTCCACATATGAGTGAGATCTTCAAGTATTTGTCTTGCTTTTTAACTCACTTCACTTAGCATGAGACCTTGCAGCAAATGACAATATTTTGTCTTTACTCATGGCTGACTAGTATTCCTGTGTGTGTGTGTGTGTGTGTGTGTGTATCTCACGGAATTTTTTTCATCCATTCACCTGTTGGACATTTGGGTTGTTTCCAGATCTTGTCTATTTAATGACTCTTAT